TTATTTATTTTTAAATATTTTTTTTTATTTATAGGTCTTGTTGCCATGACGCTGCCTTGCCTATCCTGCCAGAGAATGGCCTCAGCAACCGTATTCGGAGACTGTTTGAAAGCACCATAGCAACAGAGATGGGCTCTCACTGTCCTTTACTTTGGAGGATGTACATGCACTTCCTGGTGCGACAGACAATAACACACACAAACTCACACAGGGAAATTCATCTTTTTTAACAGTTCATACTCAACATCATCAAACTCATAACAGCATAGTTACAGACTTTACTGAAAGGGTGTCAACAGAATGAATTAGTCAATAAGCTGATGAATGGTTGCACACGTTACATGTATCAAGGATTTGTTAAACTAAGATAGTAGTGAGTTATTTATGAGTTAGTTATTTTAACTAAGCTAAAAGAAATGTAAGCTATATGTTTGTTAGAGTTAGCACCTGAACAGACTATTATAAGGGGAGTACAGGCCTAATCATCTCTGTCAATTATCTATTGAAATTAGACAAAATAAATGTGGTATCAGATGGCTTCAAAGTGTCATTTTTAAAAACAAAATCGTATTAAAAAGAATCAAATACAAACAAAAATGTACATTTCAGTAATGTTTTGAAAAGCCTGCTGTGCCTTTTAAGATCCCATTTTTTTCTGTATGTCATTCTGCTCGTTAATCTCTGACCTCTGAAATATTGACTTAAAGACAGACAGATAAGAACAGCCTACACACTTGCTTTGTGTAATTGGATACATAACTATTGACAGTATAAAGCCTTCTGTCTGTTCTATGTGTATGTAATGTGTTTGTGTATTTTTAGGTGTCAGAAGGGAAGGTGGATAAAGCCACAGGGATCTTCTACAAGGCCTTACAGAATATCCCCTGGGCTAAGGTGAGACACAGACATAATAGTCAATTTTCCTAACAACAGATTACTTACGTCTACTCCATTTTAAAATTGTACATATGAGAAATTAATTTTTCCTCTTTCTCTCTGTGTGGGTGGGTGTGTATGAACGTAAATTTGCATTTTTGCAAATTTGTGTGTATGGCACGTGTGTCAGGGTTTGTACATGGACGGAGTGCAGCTGTTCCCTGAGCATCTGCAGGAGTTTGTAGATCTGATGACAGAGAAAGAACTCCGAGTCAGGCTGCCTTTAGAAGAACTGGATATACTACTGGAGGACTAAACGCACACACACTCATCTCATTCAAGAACTTGAGTTTGCTTCAATGGCAACATGCCAACCCACATATTAGCACACTTAATGGAAGAAGAGGAGACACGTGCAAACTCAGATGCTTACACACACAGCTGCAGTTTAAACAGTAAAGTTGCAGTGATCATATCTAATGATGTGCAAGGAACCACTCTTACATTCTGTACATTATATCAGATGTTTTATTTTCACAGCAGATAACTAGGACTGTGTTTTAGTACCGGACATTGTCAATAAATATGATTCTCAATAACGTGTTGTGTGCTGGATGTTTGTTTATGTATCTGAATTTAAAGGACATGCACACTGAGACTGAGACTGGAGGCCTGAGTTTCAAATGAAATATATTATAAAAGTTCATGTTTATATTCAATATTCTATTCAATTCATTGATTCGATTGAGTCTAATGGAAGAAACTGTAAACAAATACTGAGATAAATAAGGAACAAAAAAATTACACTGCCTCCATATTTAATAGTGTCATGATTGTCAAATTTTAACTGAATGTTTGCACAATGCAACTCATTCATAAAGCTGCCCTTAACCCTGGGTTAATAGACTCCAGATGATGGTAATAATCATAATCAAGATATAATAAATAGATAAAAAGTTATGACTAATATTATATCCCTGCGCCTTGGTGAGAGACAACCAACAACCAAAAGACTGCAGGTCCAAGAAAGTTGTCAGCTATGGGGCAATTTCTTAAATACTTTTTTAAAATGTTAAATTTAATATGTGAACACTGCTACTGTAAAATGGGTCAGTGTTGAACATGTGCTGTTGTTGTTTTATTTATGTATTTGACTTCTAATTTTCAATGATCACATTTTATACATGGAGCATTTAATCGATTTTTTTTACCCTATATACCCAAAGTAAGTTTTATTCCTTCATTCCCCCGGCGACTCTCTTTGGAAACACACCTGTGAATACCTGAAAGTTTTCACCGACCCTATTGTATATTACTCACAGGATATACTGTACATACTGTGGAGTCGCTCCCTCCTTTCGTCGTTGCCGCGCCGTGGTTTGACGCATTGCAGATCCGCCGTGGCCAATCAGCGGCTCCTGTACAGAGTGCAGAATATTGCGGGTCTGCCTCGTCCAATCAAAATCTGCCTCTCAAAAACAAAACTGCAACTTCCCCAGTGCCGTTAGCCGAGATGTTTAGCACGTATCCTTCCGCCTGCATAAAACTCTGTGTAACACAAAATAGTCCGTCACTGTATGTCAATTTCAGCAGATTAAATATCTAGCACAAATACGAAGAAATCAGGTTTGAAGTCACTTTTCTCACCTTTTTCTTTTGAGGGAAAACGACCACTATAATAGACAACTCCCTTATTTTTATGTAAATACAATTATTGTTTTAGGTTGTATTTATAATAACTATGCTACACATTTTAATTTAGGTCAGCATTGTAAATTCATACAGTTAGGTTTATATTCCTGTTGCAGTCCAGATTACAGTAACAATGTCCGTCTATGATTCTGATGTCATGGCAGCCAATTGGCCAAGAGACATCAGCAGACTTGATGATTGGTGCCAGTTGAAGGGGACATGCGGACACACAGAAGATAATGCAATAATACTGGACAGTCCCCCAAAGCCACAATCTGACAAGTAACTATATGATACTCTTGACTAGACTCAACTATAACCACCGAAATGTATTGAGATCATTAATAAAATATAATCTAATGTTGTGAAACTGTATTTTAAGAACATTTAAAATCAGATTTCTGAATTGATGTGAATGTTCTCCTTGTTCACAGATTTTGAGACAAAATGATATAACATTTATTTGGCTTAAAGAACTATTTTTGGTTAAGTGTTTGACTTACTGATTGATTGATAGTTCATATATTTGACTGTCTTAGCTGTCCTCCAATATTAACAGGCACATTAACAGCAGAACTGGGACTGTCATGTGAATTGTTGCTGCAGTCCACTGTAGTACCTGCACAGGCCATGTGGGTTTGCCGCCCAATAGAAGTCCCATGAGATATATATCTCACTAATAGCAGGTAAAACATGACGCCCTAAACTTATTAGAAATCAGAGGGTTTTTTTATTGTCTTCAAGATCAATTGAGGGTTAAGTCTTTCCACTGTGGTGTCATTTAGCCCTCATTTAAAGCTAGATTAGCACTATTATTCCCTGAATCCAAAGCAATAATAATTACCAGGGTTATTTTGATTTTCATAAGAAGATCCCAAACTTTGCCCACAGTTTCATTTAATTGACTGCAGTTTAGTTTGTGTTTGTCTGATTGTACATGGCGGTATTGATGTTAGACACCAGTGGACTTCTCTAGTTCTCCGATTACACAGCATCAAGAAGAAGAAGATATACTTCATTGATCCCCTAGGGGAAATTGTTTTCAAGGCCAGATTAGCAACAGGCAACTGCCATGGGGCCGCAGGTTCACTGCATGTCAGGCATGCCTGACAGATATTCTCTCCCTAAAACAGGTTAATCTGGCTTTAGACAATACATACAAACCCTTTCACACCAAACTACTGCAACTGTTTCTCTTTCTAAATGGAGACTCCTTTTTAAACCCAGTCAACAGTTAGAAGTAACTTCTTGGTGTGAAACATGACAAGCTCAGAGACAGGCGCGCGCACAGCAGCAAGCTCGTATGCATGTGTGCGTGTACGTGCGTGTACGTGCGTGCATGCGCGCTCACGGGGAGGGAACGAGGACGCCTCACCGACTGAGCGAGTTCCCCACAGTGCGGAGGAATACAGTGAGCCGTACAGCAGTAGTTCGTCTTGCCTGCCCGCCTCCAGCAAGCCTCGTTCAGTGGCAACCGTCCATTTCCTCTCTCCCTGTAGCGTAGCAGACCACCGTCTCCAACTCAAACAGACATGGTGAGTATTTAATCATCGTGGTTTGTGATATGTACGACTTGTAATGGTGTGGAGTTGGCTGAATGGCAGCCAGGGGTTCCTACGTATCTCCCGCTGTGTCGTTTTGTAGAAATATCCTGAAGCCTCCATTGCAGAGCGCGAGTAGGATGGACTCGGTTGCACTGTGGAGTTAGTTAGCTAACTAACTTAGCTGTTAACGCTGTGGTTTCTAGACATAACGAGGGAGAAGCTTATCACGTCGCCGTATCTCCAGCTAGTACCCGCCACTTGAGTCGTAACTTATAGTGTGCCGCTTGTTACAGGTGGCCGCATATTGGCAGTAACGTGAGTTGTGGCTGCTCGGTTGGCTGTCAGTGTTAGCATCAGAGCTAACGTTACATCCCCAATGAGTGATACTCCGGTATAAGACAGCTGTAATAACAGTCAGCAGTGCATTTTCGCTTCAAGAGTACTAATGTTTGTGAGGGGTCGCTACACAGGATTTATTACGCCTGTGCTGCGCCGAAATCTGCGACCAATCTCATGTCCTATTCACAGACATCAGACATTGAGCTGTGGAGAGGACTGATGGGTGAGGTGTTGGTGGTACACAGGCAGATCACTTCTGCCACCACACCCATTGAATATTGTCACCCTTCCAAGAGTCATACATTTTCATTACTGTTGCCGTAACAATTATTGATAACAGTTATCTAAGTACAGTATGTGTCCATTGTAAAAGCTGCAGTGGTAACAACTGACCGTCTAATTAGGTCACACATTGTGGTGTGACACCTGTGTGTGGTTACTTTGCCACAGAAAAAACAGATATATTTTAGTTATTGTTAATTAAAATAATTGTTGGAACAGTTTGGGCACTGATTGATCTTAAAAAATATGTGTTAAAGTCCTGTCTGTAGTATGTATCTGTACTTTGCAAGCGTGAAGAACATTGTTTTTTTTTCATTGCTACAATCTGAAATGGATAAACAGCATACACCTGTGTAGATTGTTGTCTCCCTCCTAGTTGTGGTACCTCATTTGGTTAGTTTTTGTGTATAAATGCACAATGTCAGCTTCTTATTAATGCCCCTGGAGCAGTCCCCTAGGGAGTGGTAGCATCATACAGCAGTCAGACGCTGTAGTTTATAGCTTGTGGAGGGAGTCGCTTACATACACACTCTGTTGTCATGTGGAAAAAACAGATTTTATGGCACAGTCCACCTTATCTTCAGGGTATGTAAGTCCTACAGAGACATAAACCTTGTTTGACAGAGGCAATCTACTGAACATATCATAGGCTTCTTTCTTTTTCATTACACAGGAGAAGCCCTCTACTTCAGTAAACTTCCTCGGTTATCTAAATACCCTCTTTTAACAAAACCCTGCAGCAGCGTGTCACTTAAATGAATGCTGGTAGTTGATTATCTTCTGGATCAGACTTTTTGTTTGATACTCAAATTGTCGTTACATGTTAGCATTTCCTGACACATCCTCCTTACATACGCGTCTTGACTAACTCTAGTTTGTGTCCAGGAGTGTGTCTGGTTTTCTGTCCCAGCAGCTCATTATTACAGTGAAGTGTTTAAAGTGGGAAGTATTAGCTGATCATATTGCTTTAGCTTAAGAAAAAGCAACCAGCAGAAGACCAGTGGCGTGACATGATTAAGGTTTTGTCTTCTTTTTGTTTCTGCTGTTTTTGTTTACCTGTAGAATGGCTCAGTAGTGTGCAAATACAATGTCTTGAGATATGTGAGGCATGTGTAACACGACAGATATGAATAAGATAATTTGGCTCTAAAACTGTGTTGTGTAGTAATTGATTTACACATAGTCAGACAAGTTTTCACAGTGACTAGTAGGATGAGCTGTGCTGTAACTATTCATGTAGAAATGTTCCAATGTAGAATGATGTTAAAACTCAGGTATCTGTAGTTTTATTTGCTATAGCTACCTGTTGTATTAGTTACCATAGGTACACGGTTGGTATGTGGTTGCTATAGCTACATGGTTGACAAACCTTGATACAGGAAGCAGCCAGTGGGATTGAGACATCTTTTTTGCAGCTGTCATGTTTCCTTTCCATTTGAGGGATTTGGTGAAAACAGACTTTGTCTTGGGAGTCTTCTTACTGCTGTTACTGTGAAATGTGCTCACAGACTCAGTGGATGTGAATTAGGTTTACATTCTCACCTTTTTATAATCAGTACATTTAAATAAAACTATATTCTGTGTTGTCCTTAAATGTTTTAGTACTGTCCATGGGTGCTGTAAAAGTAACTCTTATGGCCTACATGTTACACTCGCACATCATCTAACAGGAGCTTGGTCTGTGTTGCCAGGCATTGCAGCGCCATGACAGGCATTTGGCGTGGGTATTAGAGGGGGTTAGC